TGCTGCCGCTGCTGCCGCTGCTGCTGCTGTGCCATCTGCTGCTGCGCCAGCTGCTGCATGCGTCTGAAGGCGGCGGCCACGTGGACCTCATTGACTCGGCCCTCGTGCTGGCCAACAAGCATCGCCCGCAGGTCTTCGAAGCTGCCTGCCTGACCTATGCGCATGGTCAACGCTTTTGCAGCACCAACTGCAGCCATCAGATTCGCGTGATGGGTGCCGCGGGCACTTGGACAGTGTCCTGACGCTGCTGCATGGTGGGTGGGACACCCCTCGGGCTGTGGCGGCGGTGTGTCGACCGCCGGCGGCTGCTCGGCGATGCGCGACAGCGGCAAGAGCTGGCTGTTGGTGCGCCTGTAATTATGAAATTGTGCCACGTCCGCCTCATTGCGTCCTCTCGAACCTGCATTCATCCACACTGGAGCCCGCCGGGCTGGCGCCTGGCCAACAGACGCACACATCACTGCGCAGCTACCGTTATGTAAATATAAGCGCCGTAATCCAAGTGCCCAGATCACTCAACCAGCGCGGCAGCACCGGTTACCGAGCGATACGTATGTCGTGCCACTACAGTATATATGATGAGGCCGACCTGTCCGTTCCGATATATTCTGTGACGTTGTGAGAAACCCATACGGTATCCAGTCCATGTCCCGTCCTTGACCGTCTTTGCACGTCCGATCCGCACCACCAGCATCCGATTTGCGCCACCACCTCGGTGATCAAATTCTTGTCCAAGGACACCTTGAATCCGGGTCAGGGGGACCTGCATCAGATGCAGGCAGGCATACGAGCTGCACGCTACCTGTGCCGCCAGCGCGCGTGCTTCCCGCACTTGCAGGGCCGATACATTCCTCCATTGGCCACTGGTTACCCCGCTGCACACCGCCGGGAATGACATAAGCTGATACACACATGCACATCATGTGACTCTCGCCAGCCAGGCCGTTTGGGCGCTGCATGAGCGGCCACGTGGCAGTCGGGGCACATGGCATGACTGCTGGAAGACGACGTTGCCGCGGCAGCAGCTGCAAGTTCGTTGAACAGGGAGGCTCGCCCCTCTGAACCAGCGGCATCCATGACCTCCTACCAAACAGACAGAGCATGGACCCGCCAGGCCTCAAGCAGTGGAGTTTGCACGCGCCGCGGGCCCCAACGTCCGTCATCATCTACATATACAATCACCCGTGCCAGAGCTGCGGTTCGCGTCTATTCGAAACACAACAGCACTGCTCGTGACATCCCCGACACGCGCGCTTGCCTCCCACCCCCGGCCCCACGTTTCCCCCGCCCGCCGCCCCACCCCCAGGCGGCAACACACGTAACACCAAACAAGCCAAGCTGCAGATATACAAACAGAGCAAGTTTTACCCGGAATTACAATGCATCAGCACCCGGCGCCCGACCATGTAACCCGACGACCCTTTCTGCAGATGTTCCCTCTGTTGTTACATCGCACCTGCCCGCGGCGCTGTCGCAAGTCCCATGAGGTCTCGTGCTTTGGCGAATAAAAAATCAGCTGGCAGATACCCAGCCAAGCACATCAGGGCAAGCAGCGGGGTCCTGATCGGTGTTGGTTTTGTCAAATTGTCGACAGCCGCCTCGGTAAGCCGAGTGTCCGCCCAGGGCAAGCGGCCGGGGAAACGTGGAAAGGGAGGCGCGACATCGGCAACGCAGGCTTTGCCTCACGGGTCAGGCATGGAGCGCTGGTGTGGCGGTACTGTACGAGACCAGCTGCAGTGCGGTATGTGGCCCCGTGCGCCGCACACACTGCTTCGCGGCCTTGCGTCAAAGGGTGGCCATAATATTGCCCCACCCTCCTGAGAACTGCGGCACGTGTGCACACTCCACAGAGTGAGTGACTCCATCTGACGCTGTACAATCTGTCCTGCTTCACTCAGGCCTAGGGCCAGCTCGTAACGCGAGGGTCAAGCCCGCTCGGCCTGGTCACGGCTCTGGGCTGTATGCTTTGGGCACATGTCAAGCAGTGGGCCATCGCGTGTTGAAAAGTGGTAAATAGAGGGATGCGTCCATCACAGCACGGGCTGGGAGGTCTTGCAACCGCGGAGGGTTCGGTCGTTGCAGTGTTGGGATTCGATGGGGCAGGCACCAGCTGTGACCACCGCGGTTCAGGTTTGGAAAACTGCTGGCATCACATGCCAAGGAAGGTAAGGTACACTAACCATCTACAATGGGGTGAATTGTGATTCGGGTCCCAGTGGAACGGGTACGGGCAGGGATACCCAGGCCTTGGCGCGCCCTACGGTGAAGATAATTCCCCTTAAGCAATAAGCATCTATGCACTCAAAACGTTTTTCGTGCTTCGTCGCAGCTCCAAGTGGACACACAGCTACAGCCAACACTGCCGCGCCCGCGGACCGACAGCGCTGATCGCAAAATAAGTCGAATAAGCATAGGATTAGATATTGACGCACCAACAGCATGTCACGCGCAAGCACCGCCCAGGCTGGCATGGCCCCCGTCACCCTGCAGAGCGCACTGGCAGCGACCAACGCAGCGCTCGCTGCTTCTGCTGCTAGTGGCCGCGTCTCTCTGGAACTCATCAACACCCTTCAGCATCTCAGGGCCACATGCGATGCCAACGGCGATCACTGGTCGGTGCCCGAGCCCCAGCTGCAGGCCCTCTGCGCTCAGATCAGCCCAACCAGGCCAGCCGGCACGGTGGTTGGTGCCTGCTGGGCGCTGAACTGCCTCATTCGGTACAGCGAAGACGGCGCCCCGCGCGCCGTGCAGCAGCAGGCGCTCGCTTCGCGGCAGCTGCTGCGTTCGCTGCTGGCGATGGTCAAGGCGGGGCCCGAGGCGCAAACGTTTGACCACGCGGTCCTGCTCCTCAACGTGCGTTTCGGTCGGCCCACGCGCGTCAGCAACCTGCATTTGCTCGCGTGTGTCCCCACTTGGGGCGAAGCGCTCCCGATGACATGGCCACTGCCATCGCCGCTGCTGCTGCTGCCGCTGCCGCTGCCCCTGCCCCTGCCCCTGCCGCTGCCGCTGCCGCTGCCGCTGCCGCTGCCGCTGCCGCTGCCGCTGCACCCCACCTCGCCTCTGAATCGCGCTCCAACGCGCGCGAATCCCGCAGGCACTGGTCATGGATGACGGGGTCGACGCTGTCCTCGCAGCCTTGGACCAGGACCTGGAGGCCGTGGCCGACCGCATCGCCGACGGCGCGATCGCAGCCTCGGACCCCAACCGCAGACACCCCCAAGCCACCCTTCTCAGCCGCACCGGCCTGTCCATGAACTTTGCAGTCAAGCCCGCGAGCACTCTAGACTCATGCGTGTGGCTGCTGCAGCGGTTCACTTTCAGGCGGCCCTGGTTGGCAGGGCGCCTGCTGGCGCGCGCGGACCTGGCGGCCGTCCTGGCAACCATCGTCGACGCTGACAAGGCGGGGGAGACTGTGGTCGTGTCAGCCGCGGGCCTCCTGAGCAGCCTGCTGTCGATAGGTGGGGCGCGCCGCCGCGCCGCGCGCGGCGGTCAGAGGGGGAGCCGTCGGCGTGAACAAGCAGCCGGAAGAGCCAAGGGCCGCTGTCCGTGTTCGCTTGCTGACTCGTCTCGGTCTGAGGGCGCAAGCGTGTAGAGTGCTGCGCATGATTTCAGTTGAGGCCCCTACCGCTGATTGCACTTTGCACCCCGACCGTCTGGATTCCTGTCCCTGGCGAACTCACGCCCAACGTTGCGCCCCCCTTTGCTGCTGTTTTGGCACCAGGCAACAGCGTCGAAGAGCTGCACCCCGCAGCCCTGGCCCTATGCACCCTGGCACTCGATCGCCGCCCCAAGCTGCTGCGCACCCTGGCCGGAATGGCTGCGGCGGGCGGCGGCGGCCGTCTTGCAACCAACGCGACCGGGCTGATCGCCACGGTGTGCGCGCTGGAGCCGCGCGCGGGTTGGGACGTGGTGAGGGCGCCCAAGGCGCTGAAGGCTGTGATTGGCAGGCTGGACAGTGAGGATAACGTCATGGACTCTGTCGCGGCGCTGGCAGCCCTGACTGGGGGGGACGATACGGAGGCGCCCCCAGCGGGGAGCGGCAGCCCGTCGCGTGCGGCGGCGGTGTGGGAGGCGTGCGGGGGCGACGCAGTGCGACGCCTGTCTGGCGTGATTGCGCGGCCGCAGCAGCACCCCCAGGTTCGTCACATGGCCCTGGTCTCCCTCGGCAGCATTGTGGCCGCGGGAGGGGAGCGCGCCGCCGCGGCGTTCGCGGCGGAGGCGGCGGTGCGGCCTGCGGTCGTGGCCGGCATCACGGCGGTTCTGTGCTCTGGCGGCAGCCCGAGCGGGCAGTTGGCGCAGGCGGGCATGCTGACGAGGATGGGATTAGCGGAAGGTGGCGAAAAGGTGGGGCTCATGGCGGCACTGGAGTTGCTGCGCACCCCCTGCACCGCCAGCTCAGCCGCTGCCACTGGCGGCGGCAGCGGTGGCTGCGGCAGGTGCAGGGTGTCTGGCGCCGGGAGGCGGGGCGGGGCTGCGCTGCAGCCAGGGGCGCTGCTGGCAACTCCGGGGCTGGCAAGAGCTTTGGTTCGTTTGGTGAAGGGCTACACGCCCTTGGGTGAGGACGACGACGCCGCCTGGTATGTTGTCAAACTGGTGGCCGCCGGGATGGAGGCCCCGGGCGCCACGTGCAGCTGCAGCGGCGGCGGGGTGAGCGCCTTCGCGCGCGCGCTTGCAGAGGCGGCGCCTGGCATGGCGGCAGCGCTCCGTGCGGCGCCATTCTCCGGCCTGTCCAGGCAGGCCGCAGACCTGGTGGCTGAAAGGCTCGATGCGGCGACGCAAGTCCAAGCACAGGGCAAGCAGCAGCAGCAGCAGCAGCAGCAGCAGCAGCAGCAGCAGCAGCAGCAGCAGCAGCGGCAGCAGCAGGCGGCGAGCGGAAGCTCCGGAGCCACAGGCAGCAGCACTGCGCCTGCGGCGCACAAAAGCAAAGCCACAAAGGCGTGCGTCGTGTGCGGGAAGCTGGGCAGCGATGCAGTCAAGCTGCGCAAGTGCTCCACGTGCATGGTGGTGAATTACTGCAGCACTGATTGGTGAGCTACTAGAGTGCTTGATCAGTGGCAGCATGCGCCCTGCAGCACAAATAGTGGTTCCACCTGTTTTGTGTGCTGCCAAATGCGTTCGTCCCTCCATCATCGCTGCTGCTGCAGCGCCTGTTGTGCTGCACACCGAAGTGCCCCCCACATTAACCGCTTTCACCCGTGTTGTCCCTCTCTTGCGCCCCGCAGTCAGAAGCAGCACTGGAACCAGGGCGGGCACAAGCAGGCCTGCAAGGGCAAGCCCTCGTAGGCAAGTGTCGGTCGCTCGGTGTTGAGGTGTGGGTTGCTGGTACACTGCAGTGATGGGTCTGAAAGTTAATGTCGGCTTGCTTGTTGGTTGTGTTGACAGTTGAACAAGCCCTGTGCACGGTTTCTTTGCGTTGCTATTGAAAAGTGGGGCTGAAAAGTACTTTTTTTCGATGTGTGGCACCCTTGCGACATGGCCTGGGACTCCGATGAGTTGTGATACTAATCAAGCATGGCAGCTCAGCAATTGCTGTGATGGACTGTGATGCGCGTGTTGACACATTGAGCAGAAGCTAGTGTTGTGGCCAGGATTGCAGTTACGCAAGTGCTGTTAAACACATCAATGCACACAGAGTCGCAGAGCCAAGGGTGCCGTGCTTCCTGCAGGTTCACACTGCGCGCAAGTAGCGTTTTTGTTCATCCCTGGTGACAGGATGCGCAGCTACCTGTCATGAGGCCGGTGGGCATTGATGCCTTTGTGACGTGCGCCCCTGGCAGGTGTTGCCATAGTAAGATACACCAGACCTGTGTGCCTACGGCAGATGTTGGGTGTGCGCCGCAGCGACCGTCACAGAAGCGCATATATCTACGATCGTTGCGCAGAACACCCCATTGGTAGCTACCTGTCTGTTAACAGGCTGCGCCAACTGGGTCACACGATGCGCATGACCCACATTCGTCTGCCCAAATTGACGCTTTGGAGCGCCGCCCCCGGCCCGCGCGCGGTGGGGCGGCCACGCGTGTCGTGGTTTGACGTAGCGAGGCGAGACTGTGCTGCCCTAGGGCTTGATGTCCCCGTTCACGTAGACGACCGCTGCTCTAATCGCCCCGCTTGGAAGAAGCTTGCTTATCTCTCCTGCCGAGGAGGCGTGCGCCCTCTTACTAATTCCCGACTTGGACGCACCCGCCTTGTCCTCTGGCCTTTACGGTTAGAAGCGTTACCCCTTTGAGGAGCCAGGGTCTCTCCCCTCGCTGCTGGAAAAGCGTGATGTAATGTGATGTAATGTAATGTAGACGTGTGGCGCCACAAACATGCATGCAGACGCAACATACAGTAGGCTGTCCCTGAGCGCCCTTGGCCCGCAGGTCACATTTGTGCTGCAGGTGGCGAGACCGTTGGCGTTGCCGCCACTAAGTAAAGCAGTCCCACCTCTCCCAGGACATGTGGGCAAACGGCGGCAGGGCCAAATTTTGCAGGGCTGCCCAGCAGGCAGGCAGCAATCCAAGGGCTCTTCTATCCAGCCATCTGATGCATTGCCGCACAGACAAGACATGCGCCTTGTCGGTGACCAAGCCTGTCACTCACGCTGGTTACCATTGTGGATTTCCACCCACCCACCGTATGTAGTGGTGCACCGTCACCATGTTCAGGTACGCGTGGACTGAGTAGAGCCACCTGATTGAGGGGGCAGGGGGAGAAAGGGGGGTACGGCTGAAGCAGTCGAGGACTGCGTTGACACTTCGCGTGGCTGGGGGTGAGGCTTGGGGGGCGGGGCCAGGGGACACTTCGCGTGGCTGGGGGTGAGGCTTGGGGGGCGGGGCCAGGGGCGCAGTGACAACAGCTCTTCGGTAGTTGTTGGGGATGGGGTGCATTGGGCGGAGCCGGCCCTCATCATGTGGCGGGCCAGCAAATAAGCTTGAACTTGCAAGGCGCCTCAAGGCCAGCCTGAGGACGCGCAGGTGGTGCAGCTGCAAGCCGACGCACGTCTTGGGCAGGGTGGGGTGTCTGGTTTCTGACCGACAGGCCCTCCAGCGCGCTGATCTGGTCTGGTGTCCCCTGATCGGAGATCCTCGACGCTCGGTCCCAGGCCGTGCGGCCGCCCCCACCCTACCACTGCAGCTTGTCCTTGCTGTTGATTTGGCCTTGCTTGCGTGTGCCGAGTAGTTGCCGCTCAATGTCCAATACATTCACACTGCTGCACTGCTGCAGGCTAGTATGGATTTGCCCACCGCGGGTGTGCCCATAATACATGCGCCTAGCTGACCTACTAGGTGTCGACGCCCGCACCCAGCTCGACATTTAACGAGATACAGTCATCCCTCGTTACAATGAACAAAACGGGCGCCCCCAACCCCGTTCGCATTAGGTGTTTTGTTCACATCCCTGGAAATGTGAATATCTGGGCTGGGGTGTTCGCATATCCGAGCGAAGGCTGAATTGAGCCATCACAGCAGGTGGTTACATACTGCAAACGCACAAAGACATACAAACCAAATGAAACGGAGATTGGGGCAAACAAAGCTCGCTGGCAAGCGCTTATGGGCGGGCAGGCTGGCGGCAGCAGAGTGCGCCATGCGCGCACTGTGGGTGCCCGCCCTGCCTTGTACGTGCGGGGCACAAGGGAGCGCGCAACACGCGGAATGAGGCCTGGGAGCCCTTGTGCGCTTTCCACAAGTCCAAAACTTGCACCTTCTGCTCCAGCGTGGCGCACGGTAGCCACCTAACTCGCAGTCACACAACGCTGGTGCTTTACTGTACAATCCCATGAGCCTGGATGGCTCCAGGAGCGGGCGACCGCGGGACGCTGTAACAATCCTAATCCTAATCCTAATGCAGCGTCAGGTCCTGGCGGTTGTGCTGGCTGCCCGCAGGGCCGGCCTGGCCCGTCGCAGCCCTGGCGCTGCTGCTGCCAGCTCCTGCTGCTGCCTCTGACATTGCCTCTGACATTGAACCACGTTGGGTAAGAAGTACTTGTGTGTGGCCTGCTGAGTAGAGTTCCTGCCAGATGGACCACAATGAAGCATCCCATAATCCCGTGCCCCCACCCCAGTGACACCAGCCACAAATCTGCTAGGGGTCAACCCCTGGCGGAGCAGGCGGACTGCTGCCAGCGGCTGGCCGCCCCTTGGTATTGTGAAAGATCAGGCGCCCCGGCCTTCGCATTAGGCGGTGTTCGATTTTGCTTTACCGGGAGGATGGGGGTCAGATTTGTATTGGTGCAGGACGGGCCCCCTGAAAGTGGTCACAATAGGCAGAATGTTCGCATCAACGGGGTCCATTGTAACGAGGGATGACTGTAAAAGTGATCAGCAAAGCTGTTGGGCAACAGGCATGCGAACATGGAAAAAGTGGAGTCGGAGGGCATCGATCCCCCTACCTCACGCATGCGAAGCGCGCGCTCTACCATTTGAGCTACGACCCCATGACCACACGCTCGATTTCAAATATAATATATGTAAACCATGCAAAGTTTCCAAGCACCAAAAAGGGAGGCTGA